CGGTATACCCAGATTCATATTTTTAAAGTTACTCATGCTAATTTATTAATTAATTTAAAAAATTAATTTTTATAAATTTTATACAAAACAAATTTAAATAAAATCCCAAATTAAATTTTAAATCTCAATTTAATCATTTACAAACAATGATTAATTACATATGAATCTTTCTTTCTTTTTCTAAATCAGGCATTGATCAGAGAGTAGCAATAGAAAGAACTTGGTGATGGAGCTATTCCTCAATACCATTTAACCAATGTTGATTATATGGAAAGAATGAGAAGACACGTCACAGTTAACTTCAATATGCCAGGAGCTATTGAATTAGAACATCCTCATAAATTCTTAAAGGAATTAAGACCTATTGAGGAATTCAGACACACTCCTTTGATCCCCATCAGTGAAAGACAAATGAGAGAACATCAATAAAAGGTTGAAGCTCTTTCTAGAAGAGGTTTCTATTACGAAATTAAGAAGGACACTGTTTATAATTGGATTTTAGCAAGTGTTGCCATTAGTATTGGTTTATATATGATATCACTCGTTATTAAGAAAGAAGAAGAATCTGGTATTGCAGTAGAAAGATTAAAAATAGAACGTAGTCAAATCGGTTTAGCTAAAAAATGATTTTATCTTACATTTTAAGATTTCTGTTGTATTTTTTATATTGGCTACTTAACATATAAATCTATTTATAATTTATTATTTTATTCATATTAAATAATACTTTGAGTTTTTCTTTCAAAATAAAATAATTTTTATAAAATTTAAAACATCAAATATGATATCTCACATTACATTAAATAGATAAATAATTAATTAACTTCTCAAATAAATATTCAGTCAAGTGTTAAGTTAATATTCTATTTTTACTTATTCACTAAATATAATATATTTAAAAATATTGAGGTCCTAAGGATGTATTTTAAACTGGTTGATAATAAAATCAATATGTTGTTTTTCTTTATTATAAAAATTTTTTAATAATTTTTTTTTATAAATATTCTTAATATCTTTGATTATGATACTTATGTATATTAAATTAAAAAAACTAATTAAAATTAATTTTTGAAAAATTTTTAGGAAGCATTAACATATTCTTTATTTGTATCTGTCTTAAAAATGTTTTAAATTAAAAAATTTTATTATTACATTTTATTAATAAATATTTTTAGGATTCTTTAATTTTGAAAAAATAAAATAAAAATTATTTTAAAAATAAAATAAATTAAATTATAATTGCAAAAAAGATAAACCGATACAATTTAATATATTTCATATTTTTATTGAACACAATTCATATTACAAATTTAATATTTTTAAAGGAGAATTGAATTTGATTAATATTCTAGGTTTCTTTTAGTAAAATAAAACATTTATTTCATTAGATTTTTTATATCATTTCATTATATATTTTAAATAGGCTTTCTTTAATCTAGTTATTTGATTTATGTTTATCACCTAGGACTTTAGACTTTGTTTTTTCTTAATCGATAACATATTAAACAAGCTTAATCCACTCTTCTTTAGCAACTATTTATTGAGAGCCTTTACCATTTTTTTTCATATAATATAAGTCTTAAATTTCTTAATCAATATTTTAGACTATTTCATTAACAGGCGAAGGTAACTCATCTCTTTAAAATATTTCTTGTAACTCTGTTATTAATTAAGAAACTACGTAGGGTGAATTTTATTCAAATCTCTAAATATACAGCAATCTTAAGGAATCTATTATCATATTAATATTTTTTTTAGCTTCTCTCTTTTAATTGTTTTAAACTTTTGCATAATCTTTCTATATTCTTTCTAATATCTCTTTCCTTGGTAGATTCATTTCAAATAAAATGCTTTGTATGAGTTACTCCAAACAATTAATGTAAATGGATTAACTATTCAACCAATATAAAAGACTTTCTTCTTCATTCTACAGATTTGAGAAGAAAAAATTTAGCTCAAAAAAGTCAATATCAACCTCAGTTTATATATTTTTTACCTTTACTCCTGTTTGTTTAAGTCTTTGTAGCTTTGTTTTTCCAAAAGATTCATCTTAGAACTACTCTTATTCTAATTATTTATAGGCTAACTTTTAGTCTATAAAAACACCCTTTAAATCATAATCTGAGGATTTAGTTGATAATTCGTAAGCTCTACTACCAGTCTCAGCAACGTATATAAATTTTATTTTATTTTCTTTTTCAAAATTTTATAAAAATTATTTGATCGCTTCTAATTCAGAAATAGCTCCTTTTACTTTTTTATCCATTTATTATTATAATTTATAACTTATCCTTTGTTTTTAATTTTAATTAATCTTCTTAAAAGATATTTTAAATTATATCAGGAATTAATTATCTAGTTACTAATAAGAATTATTTTTAATAAAATTCTGATAAATAATTCTTCTACATTATAATTTTTATTTACTTTTTTAAAATCGGATTATTAAGAGATCAAAATTTTATACTCTTTTATGCATTTTATTGATATTCTAAAAAAATGTGTTTTTATTTTTAAGAAACAGATTATTCATCTAATTTTTGTTTTTTTTATAAAAATGTTAATTAATCTGATTTTTTAAAATTTGTCTTTTAATAAAAATCAATCAAAATGATGACTAATTTATCATTTTTAATGAATCATCTATTAGAAGTTAAAATAAATAAATTATGAAGTATTTTAATGAAAAAAAAAATCTATTAAAAATAATAATTACTGTACTTCTTTAGATTTGCTCAAATAGCTTCTATTTATAAAATTTATAAAATTAATACAGTTAAAATTTAAAAACTTTTTAAACACTGTTTATAAACGAATTGTGCAAGTAATTGAAAATTAAGGTATATAGTTATATAAAATTTTGAATCCACTCTTTTATATTTTATGTGTGTGGTTTTGATCAAAGCAAGCTTATTTAAATATTTATTTGATTTTAAACAATTATACCTCTACTTTTTATTACATTTTTCTTATGATAATAAAATTTGTGTGTAATTTTTTTTTATTTAATTTTTTCTATAAATTATTAAGCTTTGAAAATAAATAAAATAATTGATTTATAATTTATTATATAGAATCTTTTTTTAAAAAATAATGTATTTAAATATTTGAGAGGAAGAGATAAAATTAAAATAAATAAAGATTATTTAAGAATTTTATGATTATAAACTGATAAATATTATAGAAAATTTAAAGTATAAATATTAAGATCACATAGATATAATTTAATTATAAAAGAAGTAATTATTTATTTATTTATTTAAAAAATAAAATAAAATAAAATTTATAGCATAAGCAAGTTAGGTAAATCTAAGTTAGTTAGTTATTTATTTATTTAATTAGATGTTAGTTTTTTAGAGTAAATTAAAAATCTAAAACTTTGTGATCAAATCTACTTTAATTAAAGCAAAGCTAATTTGGATTATAATTCATACAACTTTAAAGTCCTTAAATTACTTAAAAGGACTAAATCATAAACTAATTCACTAATCTAATCAAATTGAATTTTTGCAAAAAATATTAGACATATAGGAGGCAAGTATATTCATCTGTTATTATTTAATTTATGAATAAAATTTATTAAGCTAAGTTTATTATTAAATAAATATTCGTATTATTATTGTGGTTAAGATGATTTAATGTGATGGATAAATAGATGGATAGCTGAGCCAATATATTTATTTATTTAGAGAGGAATGAATGAATATATTATTTGTTTATTTATTTATTATCAATACCTAATTAGTATGAGAAAATTATTTTTTTATTTGTTAATTTTTAGTATTTAAAAACTAATTATAATTAAGAGGAGAATATAATTTATTTAGTTAGTTAGTCGCAGATTGAAATGCTTGTATAAAGTAATTCTGTTAACCAACCTATAATATGGTTTTTTTTGTTTAATTCCTTAATTAATTGATCATTTATTAATGATTTATTGAAAAAGTACACTTTAGGTCATTTATTGATTGATTGGTTGATTCATTAATTATTTGGATGGTTTACATTATTTGGAGCTCTGAAAATCTAACCTTTATTATTCAAAAATAACATTAAAAGTTATCAAAATTAATTAAAGTTTTTTTAATTCTTACTTGACATAAACAGACTTTTTTATTTAGAATGGGTTTTAATTTACTTTTGAGAGTTATCTTCACTGTCATCGTCTTTCTCTTATATGAGTTGAGGCTATTAAACTGGTTTGAATTTGGAAGACATCACTTTTTATTTAAAATGAAGAAAATTTTAGTAAATTATTTTTATTTAATGTTTATTAATTACTGTTAGAATAGGTTGAGGCTCTATCAATTTAATCTTAAACTCTGAGAAAACTCTTAAAAGCAGCTAGATTAAGGGAGTATTGCTAAACTAGTGTACGAGTACTTTCTAGTTCAAAAGCATCACAGTCTACACCTTTTCCTTCCTTTATTTTTTATATCTGACTTCGTTTACCTTATTCAAGTTGCTCTATATCTATTTTTAATTAAATTTAAAGATACAGCTAAGAAAATATAATAAATAATGCGTATTAAATTAGTTATTAATTTTTCTCTGATTTAATTCAATTTGCTTTTCTAAGCAATCTAAATTAAAATTTAGTACTATTTATTTTACTTGAGAAATTTATTGTCATTTTTCTTATTTTTGTCTAGAATTTAATTTAAATTAAAAATGTAAGTCTTATTGGTTTGACAATTTTGGTAGATTTAAAGTGTGTGCGCTGGCTTTGAAATATGGAGATTATGAATGTATTTATGTATTTTACCAAATTTTTTTAATCGTTAAATATTTAAAAAGTAAGTAATTGAAAAAGATCATTTGAGGAAAAAAACTAATTTTTTGAGAAATTTACCTTTTTTTATATCATCTAAAGTAATTATTTAGGCTTCTTCTTCTATCATTTAAGAAGAAGATTACTATATATATTATGCTTTACTTGGTTATTCTTGTATTAATCTTTTTTGCACTTCTTCTCTTCTTTACATCGCCATATCGTTATTAGAATCGTATAGTGCGGCTTTTTCATAACACTCAATAGCATTTTCCAATTAGTTTGTAAGGCGGAAACATTCTCCCAAGTAGAAATAAGTTTCCGAGTGATCGCTGCGCTCTGAAATTGCTTTTTCTAAATAGGTGTAAGAATCTTGCACTCTATTCATATGGAAATACAATTTGCCCATCATGAAGTAATGCTAGTACATTTATTTTGTATTTTACTTGTTCCTATTATGTTCAAAATATTGGATAACTTTTCTTTGATTTTCGATTGCTTCTTCATATCTTTAAAGTGTTGCTAGCAGCGAAGTTTTCTTTTGTACAACTTTAATTTAGTTAGGATTTATGAATAATGACTATTCAAAACTATTGAGTGCGTCTTGATGCAATTTAAGTTTTTCCTCAACTAAACCTTTCCAATAGTATGCCTCAAAATCGTTATGAACGAGTTCAACATACTTTTTAAATTCATCCAAGCTTTCTTTATATCTTTTGACTTAATAATAAATGCTTCCTTTATTTATGAAAACTTTTGTTTAAGAATTGTCTCTAGCAAATATCTGGTCTTGACAACGGAAAAATTCTTCGTTTCTATTTAAATGAAGGAAACAGTCGCTTTTAGTTTGAATGAGCATGATAATTTCATTTTCTTTCTCCTTATTTTTATCTTCAATATCCATTTTATCATCAGATTCTAAATTTTGACTGCTGCTATGATTGCTGCTGCTGTTTATCCCATTCATCTAATTTTAATTGAGATTGTTATTGCTGTTGCTACTCAAATTATTTTCCTATCCTTAAATGTAATGCGGATTCTTAGGGTCATAAAGAGATAAATATTTCTCAATGCTTTCAAGAGCCTACTCGTATTGCTTATTGTTAAATAATTTCTTAATATTTGTCAGATCCTTGACTTGCTAAGAACTATGACCAGTCTTCGCTTAATAAATTTGGCTTGTGGTTTTAACCATTGGCGAACTGCCATTGATAGTGGCTGAATAAGACTACCTAAGTACATTGTGCATTTAATTTTAATTATGATTCCCGAAAATTTATTTCTATCCATCTTGATTAAATTGCTTCTCAGCAAAACCTTTAAAGTTCTCTGCTTAATAATTTGCTTCGTTCATCCTTTATTATTTTACAATGATTTTGATTTCAATTATTTAAAAATTAAAGTTTTATCATAATATATATAGGTATGTTTATATTATTTATATCTTTTTGTTATGCCTTCTTTTAAAATAAATCATGTGATAAGCATAAACAAAATAGCAGCAATTAGATTTTGCAGTAATACATAAATAAATAAGTCAAATAAAGAAAAGTAAAACTATATCCAAGATAAATATCAGCGCCTAGTACTTCTTTACCCCATTGTGCTTTAACTTTTACCCAACAACAATTCAAGTAATTATTGAAGGTAACCTTTAAATTCCTTTCTAAATATATCCTAACTCTTAACACTGTATCTTCGTTATTTTTTGGATTCTGCTTTTGAGCAAACATTAAAAAAAGAATAAAAATAGATTTCTAACCAAAATGTGCTGGCTGCTTTGATTTTATTTCTTTATTTCTTGATTAATTTATTTATGATTTGGCTGGTTGCTTGATTGATTTATTGCTAATCGACCAATCTTGAATAAATAGAACTTAATATTAAAAAAAAGACATCCTAAATTAACAATTTAAAAATTTAATTATTTGAATTAAAATGTTTGCATAAAGTTTTTTTAAGCTTTATTTAAACTAAAAGTAATCTCTAAACATTTTATTATTGTATTGATAAGTTAAACAACAAAAAAATTTCATAAGATAAGCTAAAACCTTATAATGTTAATTAAATAATTTAAGCTAAAATTAAACCAATAAACGAAGAAACTAACTCCAAAAAAGCGAATATAAAAAATTAAAGTTATTGGAACTAAAACGATGGATTATTTTGCGAACCTAAATAATTTTTTAATTAGTCTTTATTTTCTTTCTTCTTGCTAAACTATAATTTTTTTCTAAATTTTAAGAAAAAAACTTATTAAAAACAAAAAAATATAGGAGGATATTTCCTCAGTTAACTTATCAAAATATATATCAGTTTATAATTTTTTTTAAAAAATATGCATTTTGTGATAATTAATTAAGTTGCTTAACTCACTTGATCATTTCATTTTCAGTTTAAAAATTTTCAAAATAAGTTATTACTTTGTGGGGGTTTTTACTTTTTAAAAATTTTATTAAAAATTAAAAAAATAAAATAAATTAATATTTTTTTCATTTTAAAATATTTTGAAAATAAAAAGCAAAATTTAAAATTCTTTGAAATTTCCACAATTTATTAAGTACTTGACAATTTTTACTTTCTATCAAAATAAATAAATAAATATTTATCAAAAATTTTAATTTAATCAAGCAAGTATTAAAAAAAAACAAAAAGTAAACTAGAAAAGTAAAAAAAAAATGAACCCAGAAAACGGAATAATTTTAGTTGTAGGAGGAACAGGAAGAACTGGCTATCATGTTGTTTAAGAACTTTTGAGTAAGAATTTTCAAATCAGATTGATTAGCAGAAACCGTAAATCAGCAGAAGAATCTTTCAAATAAGATTTGATTTAAATGGAATCTGTTTTTGAATGTGATCTTTTCTAGGAAGCAAAAATGTAAAAGAGCAAGATTGAAAGTGGAAAAGAAGTGAAGTCTATTTTGGACTTAGCATTTGAGCCAAGCAGAAAAGGATTAAAAGTTTAGGCTGTAGTTAGCGCCCTTGGATACAATTACAAAAGCTCAGATGATTCCAGAATAGTTGAGGAGACTGTAATTTAGTTGTTAATCCAATTATGCAAAAAGCACAATGTTAAAAACTTTATTCTCACAAGCTCTATGTGCGTCACTCGTCCTTATCATTTTGTCTCCTATTTAATTAATTCATTCGCATCAAATGCTCTAGGCTACAAGGTTTATGGTGAAAACGCTCTAAGAGAAAGTGGATTAAACTACATCATAGTGAGACCAGGAGGATTAGTTGGCACATAAAAAGATAAAAAAACGACAAACTATACAATTGAATAAGGAGATAGAAGTAATGGAAGAATAACAAGAGCCACAGTAGCTAAAATTATAGTTGAAGCTCTTTAGGCATAAAATTTACCCAAGTAGTTAACTTTTGAATGCTATAGTACTAAATAGCAATCTAGCGAAGAATATTAACCTTTCAATGGTTCTCAACTCAAACCAGATGATGAATCGAGCATAGTTAGAGGAAACCACGTCTAAGCAAAAAGAATGATCAATCTAGTATTAGTTTCTTTATTAGCCATTTCTTTAGCCTTTTTGTACAAAAGATTCTTTTGAGGAATAATTGCTAAATAAAATGCATAAAACCTATAATCTTAAATCAATATTTTGAAGTATTTAGTTATTATAATAATTAAATTGTATAGAAAATATATATTCTCTATCATTCTTTTTTAATATTTGTTGAATAAATAAGTAAAATAAATATCTAATCTATTTTTATAAACTATTATCTTCAAATAGATCTTTTCTTTTTAGAATTTTTCCTACTTGCTCTTATTTTATTTAATAAATATCTATATTTGATTTGATAGTAATTTTAATTAAAAAGTAAAATAGATGTTTCGATCCATTTACTGATTATAAATATCTTTATAAATATATTAATTACATACAATAATACCCATCTTTGAAATAAATTATTATTTTTAGAACATTTATGTTATCAAATTTTAAAAATAGTATGTGTCTTTAGTATTCTAAATTTATTGATTCAAAAAGGTTTAACATAATATTTCCATTTATTCTATAATTTCAAAAATAATTTTATTAATAATTAAAATTTTTAATTTTATTATAATCTTAAATATTTATATTTCTGCTTAAAATAATTCATTTAAAATATAGATTATAGTTTCAAAAAATAAAAATTCCATTCATATTTTCATTTTATAAACAACTTAAATGCAAACAAAAATAAAGAAGTAAATAAATAAATAAATAAATAATATCTAGAATTGACTTATTTCTAAATAAAAGTATAAATTAAAATTATTTTTTTACAATTTTTTTAGAAGAAAATCAATTTATTCTTTGATTATTTTGCTTTTTATTTACTTAAAAGAGAATAATCGCAATAAAAATTTAAAAACCATTTCAATTTTTATTTAGTTAATAATATTAATATTCCTTATTTTTTAAAAACATGATTTAAATATAAATTTTAAAACTCTTATTGATAACGATTGTCAATTTTTAAGTAATACTAATTAAATAACCATGAAAATAATTGATAAAAATATTTTTTATAAAAAAAATTGATCTTATTTCAAAAAATAATAAGAGTAAAATCAAATTAAGACATTAGTTAGTTAGTTAGTTATTTTCTTTTTTAATTGTTTTTAGGAGAATAATTACAAAAACTATTATTGAATTTTTCACTATCAACTAATTAATCTAAAAAAGCTCTTTTACTTATAAAAAAATTATGACATATTTCTTCATGATCGATCTTTGTTATTATTTAGGATTAATAAATTAAAATAATTTTATTTCATTTCAGATTTTATTAAAAATAATAATAAAATATTTAATTATTTTATTTTTGTTGATTTTATTTCATTCAATAAAATAATAAAATAAATAAAAAGAGTTAATGATTTAGTTTTATTTTCAAATAGAAATTTTAAATGATAAAAATTATTTAAATTTAAGTATATTATTCAATGCATACATTATAAGTATTTATATAGAATATTTACAGATAGAAAAAGAATTATTTTTTTTTCATTTTGATTTATTAAGCTCTGCTAAGAATTATATTTCAGATTACCATTGACTAGCACCTTCAAATCCATTTTTCTCTTCTTGATAGTCTTCAAAGGTATCATTTAAACTAGACTAAGAATCTAAAACAAATGGCCCATAGCTGTATACAGGTTCTTTTATCGGTCTACCAGCAAAGAGGATAAATTTAGCTCCTTTGTCACCAGAAATAATATTTAAATTTTCTCCTTCCTCTGGCTCAAAGATAGCTGCTTATTTATCTTGAACTTCTTTTTAGTTTTCACCAATTTTAATGCTTCCTTCATATAAGAATACCATTCCTTGGTAATCCTTTGGGATATGTTAGTCAAATTAAACATTCTTTTCAAGTCTAACATCCATATAGAAAGCAGGAGTTCTTGTGAAAATGGGACCTTTTTCCTATAATTAAAATAAACTAATAAAAATTTGCTTTTAAAAATTTTATAAAATTACTCCAAGAGCTTCACCAGCAATTAGTCTGATCCATATTCCATCTCTTTTAACAATAGGAAGTTTTTCAGATTTATATTCTTGATATTCGGGATCGCACATTTTATTCTTTTTATCTAAATTAACCCACAATTAAAATCCAACTGAAGTTTTGTCAAATGACCCAGGCATTTCAGCATGAACAATACCTTTACCAGCTGTCATCCATTGAATATCACCTGGTTCTAAATTTCCCTAGTTAAAAAAGGATTAATTATAAATTTGTTGGAAAGTAAATTTTAATGAATTTACTTTATTTCCCTTGAAATCTTCATGCAACATAGTACCATCAAGCATATATGTAACTGTCTCAAATCCTCTGTGAGGGTGATCAGGAAAACCTGCAGGTAATTTCACCTAGAAGTAATCAAGCATCAAGAAAGGGTCCAATCTTCTACATTGTTAGTTACCTAAATTTATACAAATTGTATAAAACAACATTTTCACTTAAATATTATTCATACCTATGATTCTATGAACTCTTGCACCAACTCCTTCATTTTGTTGAGGAGGAGAAAAAACTTTTGATATTCTTCTTAAAGCCTTAGAAGCCATTTCTGAATTTATTGTTATGCTAAGTAAATTTATGTTAATTAGTTATGATTATTTTTAATAGTTTGATTATTTATTGTTTTAATTTATTAATTATTAATTGTTTGTTGACAAATTTCAAAAGTTTATATTAATTTATATTCATTCTGGAAATCTTCTATCAATATGTAATTTTTAATGTATCTTATAGTTAACACTAAGATTACTTTAATATAAGATAGAGTAGATATACTTTTATCATTCAAATTAAGCCTTTCTATTGAATTCTAATAAGAAAAACCACTATTTCATTTATTTATATTCAATAAACTAATCTTTAAAAACGAAAGCACTTCTACCTACTTATTTATCTAATATGTTATCAAATCTATTTATATATTTATTTATTGCGTTTCTCATGCATTTTCTAATATTGTATCAATTTCCTTTATCTATTTATTTATTAATTTTATAATGTATAGCAATCAAGATGTTATCATTCATTTTTTTATTGAATGATTGAACTTATCTACTAATTAATAAATATTTCTTAATTAATATTGCCAAAATAAACTACAAAAGTAATACAAATTATTAAATTCTTTATACAAACAAATAACCTGAAAATGTTAAAAAAATAAATATATAACCTATTGAATTACTTTGAAATTATTAAGTGTATAGTTGTTACTTATTAGTGTATGATTATTATCATCAATTTTACAAAAAACAAACAAATAAATAAATTTGCAAGCTCTTTTTTAAATAAAAAATGAAATATCATTTTAAATAATAAATATCAACATTCAAAAAAACTAGAACTTTTAATTTAAGATGGTACCAAAATTATTATGTGAGAATAACTTATAAATATAATCTTATAACAAAAGAATTTGTACCCATATTTAAACTACTGCATGCATAATTTTAACACTCATATAAATTATTAATTTAGAATGTTTAATTTTTTTAATTGGCATTAAAAATTAAAAATAATTAATTAATTTTTTTATCTATTTTTCATAGCCAGTAAATACTAAAAACAATATAAATAAATTCAAAAATAAATAAAAAAAGCAACAAACGCTCAAAAAAAAGATGAATTTTATTTGAATACTATTTATTGATCCATCTAATAAGTTTTACCAACTATTTCAATTGAATTTAGGAAATTTACTTTATTTAAAATGTTGTTTTAAAAATCAACTTAAAAATTTAACCAATAAATAAAAACTTTACAAAATTCTACACAAAAATGTAAAATTGGATATGAAATTTATTAATTTAATGCAAAATATTTTGAATTTATAAATATATAAGGGTCTACAAAGAAGGTTTTATTAAAATTAAAAGATTTATAGAGATAAGATAGTTTTTTTAAAGAAATTTAATACATTTTTATATATAAATATATTTTAAGTTTGTTAAAAATTATTTCAATCTTAATTTAACTCTGCTAAAAACTAAATTTCAGATTTCCAATCGCCAGCTCCTTCAAATCCATTTTTTTCTTACTCGTAATCTTCGAAAGTTTAATTTAAACTTTCTTATGATTCTAGGACGAAAGGTCCAGAACTATGAATTTCTTCGTTGAGGGGTTAACCAGCAAATAGAATAAATTTAGCACCTTTTTCACCAGCAACGATGTGTAAATTTTCTGCTTCTTCTTATGGTTCAAAAATAGCAGCCTATTTATCTTCAACTTCTTATAAATTACCTCCTGCAACAACGCTTCCTTCGTATAAGAATATCATTCCTCTAAATTAACTAGGAATATGTTAATCAAATTTAACATTTTTTTCAAGCTTGACATCCATATAAAAGGCAGGAGTTCTTGTAAAAATTGGTCCTTTTTCCTATTGAAATAAATTATTTGTTTTAATAAAATGATTGTAATAAAATAAAATAATTACTCCTAACGCTTCACCTGCAATCAATCTTATCCATATACCTTCTCTCTAAACTACAGGTAGCTTTTCAGCTTTAAATTCTTAATATTGAGGGTCGCACATTTTATTACTCTTATCTAAATTTACCCACAATTAAAACCCATAAGAAGTTTAATCTTTAGATCCTGGCATCTCAGCGTGGACAATTCCTTTACCAGCTGTCATCCATTAAATATCTCCAGGTTCAAGTGTACCCTTTTTTTTAAAGTAATTCTATTAAAACCAAATATTATTTAAATAATAAAAGCAATACCTTATTTCCCTTAAAGTCTTCATGAAGCATTGTACCTTCTAACATATAAGTTACAGTTTCGAATCCTCTGTGAGGATGATCAGGAAATCCTGCTGGCAGTTTAACCATAAAATAATCAAGCATCAAAAATGGATCCAATCTTCTACAAAAGTCGCTGCCTAAAAATTTAAATTATTTGAATTATTATATAAAAAGACAAATAAATATATTATACCAATAACTCTAATAACTCTAGCGCCAACTCCCTCATCTTCTTCAGGACAAGTGAAAAATTTTGCAATATTTCTTTAATTTTAATTTGACATTATTTCAGTATAGTTTTAAAAGTGAATTTGTTGAAATTTTTAAATATAAATTATTATCAAAACTTAAATATTCTTTGATCATTCATTGATTTATTAATTAATTTATGTCTTCTAGAAATGTTCTACATTAATGTAATTAGGAGTGCAAATTTTATAAAATAATTGAATAATTAATTAATAAAAATAAATATATTTTGACTTTAAGTAACCAAATACATCAGATAGAGATCAAACTCTTAATTTAAGTTCTCCTTTTGACATTTCAAGTAGATAGATACATATTCTCCTGAAATCAAAACATATTCAAGTATTTTTTAATTTTTTACATAAGATTCAAAAATATTTTACAAAACAATTTATTTTTTAATTTAGAAAAAGAAAAACCAACATTCTGTAGATTCTCCAATATTAATTAAAATGTCCCTCTTATCAAATTTTGTCTATATTTTTGGTGAATAATATCAAAAAAATTTTTGGTATTATTTTAATTGAGTTTTAAAAAAGGAGAATTTACACAGTAATTAATTAATGGTTTTACGATTAAAATAAATTTTATTCAGAACATTATTGATTGAACAAAAGATTTAATTATCTAAAAATTTTAACTTAATAATGTTTTAAGACTAAAATTTAATTTACTAACAAATTAATTTTATAAATAATAACTTGAATACTAACTAAAAAGACTATTTTAAAATAACTAAAGAAAATTATATTTAATATTATTTATACATTAAAAATGAATAAGCAATATAAATATTATATATATTTTGTCAGTATTATTTTATAGTTTTTCTGTATCTATTTTAATTTATCAGGTTAATGCACTAATTAATAAATCCAAATTCAAGTTAGAACGAGTTCTTTCTATTTTATTACATGCTGACTTATCCTTAACATTATATTGAGATAACTAAATAGAAATTTGATAGAATTAGTATTTTTATTAGATTATTAAAATTCAATCTTCTTATACAACTCCACAGTTTTTTATAACACATCTTACCATTGGCTTTTCTCCATAAGTTTCTACCTTTTCTATTTCTTTAACAACGTCCATACCTTAAACAACTTCGCCAAAAACTACATGCAATTTGTCTAATCCTTCACAAGCATTTAGTGTAATGAAGAATTATGAACCATTTGTATTTGGCCCATAATTTGCCATGGAAAGAATTCCTGGCTTGTTATGGGTTAGCTTGAAATTTTCATCCTTAAAACTCTGCCCGTAAATAGATTTGCCTCCAGATCCATCTCTATTAGTTATATCTCCTCCTTAAATTACAAAATTTTTAGATATTCTATGAAATGGTATCCCTTTATAACCAAATCCATTCTAACCAGTGCAAAGCTCTCTGAAATTTCTTGCTGTCTTAGGTGTCACTTTATCATATAATTTAAAAGTGATCATACCAACTTATTTTCCATCTATTTCTATCTCAAAAAAACAATTAGGATAGGTTTTCTCACCAAAACACATTTAAAATTAACTAAAAGCAATATCAAATAAATAAATAATTTAATTAATGTATTTTTATCAAAAAGTTAAGGATTAATTTATTTAATGAAAGCTTGCTTTACTAAAATCATATGCAAATAAAAAATAAATATTTAAAAAAATTATTTTTAAAAAATAAGAAAGAAAATTAAAAAATATTTTTAATAGAATATAATATAAAATTAATAGGGAAATTAATATTGAGCTATACTCTTCATACTGTCAGTCATATTAATTATGGTAATCATTTATTATCTAAATTCTAAAAAAATCTTTATATTTTTCATAAAAAAATAAGATAGACCTAAAAATTAAATTATGAATCAATCACATTTATTAAGAAATTATTACAATTAAAATATTCTTAAATAATTATTTCAAATAAAAATAATCTTAAATAATTATTTTAAAGAATTTAATTTTTCATAAAATTAAAATAATGGAAAATGTATTAAGGATAACTTTTAAGAAAATAATCAAATTTAGCAAAAAATAAGTAAAATTTATATATGTATTTTAGATAATGTTCTAATTTAATGTATCAATACACTAATACTAGTTAGATTAGGGAATTTAAAAATTTAAAATATAAATATTTAAAAAAATACTGATTTGAATTGAATTTATGTCAAATAAAATTTTAAAACAAATTTATAATCTCTAATTTTACTTAATATTAAAATGCTATATAAGTAAAATATTTTGCTCAATGCTTTGCTTCGAATTAATATTTTTTAAAAATGCTTATTTGCTTATTTAAAAATATATACAAAGAATACTTTTGATGAGTAAACAAAAAAAGATTATAGAATAATATTAGTTTTATTAAATTGATTTTCCGATTCTTCATTCATTTTGAGTTAATTTTTAATTATTACTTTTTTAGGATAAATAGAATTAATTATTATAATTGATCTAAAATAATTTACATTTCCTCTTGGAGAGTATCCACTTAAATAGTTCCGTAAATATTAATCAATGGACTTGTATAATTGCTTTTCGTGCATAAAGGACTTGATTGGCTAGATCTTCTTTCTTCTTTTATTAAAATTTATTGTCATTAAAAATAAATAAATTTTAAAAATTACAATATAAAGGCGATTAATCAGCCATTGTGTTTTCTTAATCATTTTAAAACTAATTTTCATTTTCTAGAATAGTGTCAACTTCAATTTAACCATAAATTTAATTTATTTTAAATTTTCTTTTTGCTAATAAAGAGCTTAATCTATTCTTAACCCTATCGTTATTAACTTATACGGAATCTTTTTTAAAAATAATAATTTATTTTTTTAAGCTAAATTTTTAAATAAATATTTACTATTATCAAACTATAATCTTTCAGCATTTTACATTTGATCTTAAACATTAAGATTAGGTGATTTTTATACTTTAATTTGTTATAATTTTTTATATAATATCATCCAATTTTTTAATGCTTTTTAAATATCCTTTTCTGAACTAAATTTAATTTTTGTTAAAAGTTGTTATAAACAAATAAATTTAGAGTGTAATTTAGTTATTATGAAATCGAAATTTGCTATTAACTAAAATTTGATTATAAGCAACACTAAATATCCACCATTTACATATTAGCAAAGTAATAAAAGTGTATAATAAAAATAAACTTCAAAGTCACTAATACTCGTATTTAAAAAGTAGTTAAGTAGGCAAACAATCATCAAAATAATAGAACTATTTTAATCTATCTATTAATACCTTTTTATTTAGTAAGGTTTAAATACACATAACGAGACATAGTAAGCTACAATAGCCATAAATATAGCTAAGAATTTATATTCTTTTAAAAAAATTTTAGCTTTTAAAAAAAATTAATTAAAAATGTAATTTTACTTTACGAAGAAGGATTATAAAAATTTAAAACTATTATTATAGACAGCTTCAACAAATATTTTGGTATTTCCCAATAAAAGCATTTTTCTTTATAATCTTAATAGATATATCCATATTTTAATCTAACTAAGGCGTCACTTAATTATTTTCTTGATCTATATAGCACAATAAATATGAAAGTAGGATATATTATACTATATAGCAAAAGTCCCGGTCCAAGCATTAAAAAGATATAGTTTTTATGCTATTAAGTATAGCATTCGTAAGTATAATCAGCTCTGATATACTTCTTTCCATCAATTTCTCTACAAGTAATTTATTAAATCAAATGCTAAACAATATTAGGCTATGTATACTAGAGTAAGAAAATAAAACTAAAAATTAGTTGAGACTATTTATAAAAATAAATTAATAATAAATAATATTATCTATCTGATAGTGATATTTATAAATATGGTAAAATTTTATTTTCAAATCAAAATAATTTTGAATTTTTTTTTTAATCCCAAAATTAATTTTTTTGTAGAAATTTTAATATTTTTAATTTGAGAATTAAATGATGAAAACTTAAAAATCAATTAAGGTATCAATAAATTAATTAATTACTTTATTCAGTTTTATGTTGTATTTTTAATGTAGCAATATAAAGTAAAATAGAAACAATAATTTGGCAAACATTAATGGAGAAAGCATAGAAAACAATGACTTCCAATACAAATTAGGCATATTATCTGTTGCTAAATATGCTATTTAGCATGTGGTATTGAAAATTAAAGAGGATGAAGGTTCTCCTATATTAACATTGTTTAATTTAATTTAATATTTTTGTTATAAATTTGTTAGCTTACCAAATAGACCAGGAGCGATAGATATTATTGAAGGAAGCTTTATATTAAAGTCTGATATTAATTTATATAGTTGTAAAAATGAAGTAAAGGCCTTAACAGCCAAATTAACTTCATTTTTTTGAGATGATCTACTTATGCTTAAAAACTTAAAAATACGCAAGTAGTGAGCTAAAACAACTCTTTAAGATGCTTTTATAGATTGAAATATATTGAAAATAAAAAATAAGACTAGTATTGTTGTAATTAGTAAGGCGCTAAATATAGCATAGACTATAGTCATAGTTGTACAATTAACACAACCGTTCTTGTTATTGTATTGATACTATGATCCCCACATAACTCCTTTCTCATCACAAAATTAGCAAAGTGGACCATAATGCCCCTCAATACAATAATTTTTCATTTAGTCTCCATTACAATTATCATAAAAATCACATTAATAAATTAGATCTGTGAGGTTTTTGCTTTTCCAATAACCTAGTTTCAGCTCCATTTAGTTTTTAAAGCAAAAGCTGGCTTCTTCAGGACATGATTTGCATTGAGTTTATTCACCTATAAAATATTATTTTAAAAATTATTGAGTAAATACTTCAAATATATTCATTTATTTATTTACTTTTATTTGGAGTTTAGAGAGAATATGTCCCCTATAAACACACATGGCATAAATATATTTCTTGAGAAAGTTAAAATATTTCACCTATTTGACAATCACGAAAATTAATCTCATATTTATCTTAGTAGATATTTTCAGATACTTTTTTTATTAAATAAATTATTAATTTTATTTATCTCAATGTAAGAATAAATTTTACACTAATAAATCAAATCCTCATTGCTTATCATTTCCTCATACTGCTTTAGACCTTATGCTTATAAAATGATAAATTACTAACTTTAAGGATTTCCCATAATCTATGTTCCTAATATTTAAAAAGCTGAAATTGACTGTATAAATGACTTGTATTAAGCCATATAAGATCCTAAAACTCTAAGAATGTTACTATCTTCTGAAAATAAAGTAAGTTCAATTAGACTTAACTCATCGCATATTTATTAAGGATAAATCTTATTTACGCAATTAGTAATGTTATAGTTGAGGAGGTTATTTTCTTCATCATATATTTAAAATTGCAAATCAACAAATCCTCCACTTTATATATTTTTAAATGAATATTATCTTTTTTTAAGTTATCTTTATTTTAAATTTGAGCTATCTATTTCTTATAGCTACTCTTAAATTAATCTATCTTTTTTAATATTTATTTACTAAGGAACCACGTATTATAAGTATGAGCCCCAGTTTTAGCTATGGATAGTAGCAGAATTAGAATCAAATTAAACTCCGCTGCTTTAAAAGTCTTTTTTATTAAAATATTTTGGTTTGCCGTTAACATATCTAATAGCTCCTCCAATTAGAGCAAAATTTTCTTTAAAAACATCATTAGATAGTTTAATATAGGATTTAGATAAATAGATTGCACCTCCACTGTTAGAAGCATTATTCCTTATAAATTATGAATTTATTATTTAAGATTAATTACCTAAACATTCTATAATTCCTAAACTACCGCCATTTTGCCCAAAGTTATTTTAAAATTAGCTATTCTATATTGTAATTATTTCAGTTTGATATATGTTAATGCTTGATCCAGTGCAACTTTAGCAATTAATATAATTAAATTGAGATTATGTAACTTAAAGCTAAGTTCCTTTAAAGTATATTACACTAGAAATAAAATTTTGGCAATTTAAAATATTAAAATTTGCTAGAATCAAAATGTCATCATATAAAAATTTTGTTTGAAGACTTTCTTAAAAAAAGTTAACGTAACAAATTATTTGTGTATTTAAGATTTGACTTATATAAACATTACTGAAATTATTTTATTTGCTTTATTAAATATCAAAAATTATTTGGTTTTCATTTCCATTAATTTTTTCTATTTAAAGTTACTAAATATTTAATATTTGAATTTAATAGAATTGAAATAAATACTATTTCAGCTAATTAGTTTCAATTAAAACTCTATTATTATTAGTAGTAGTAGAAGCTTAATAGCTTATCTATTTTAGAGATAAATTGCTGATTTAAATATTTGAAATATCTTAAAATTTAAATATTGAAATTAAATCAAATATTTCGACATTTTCGATTTGAATATTCTCAATTGTGACATTTGAGCAGTTATAAAAACTAAATAAGCTTACCTATCCTTATAGTCTAATTTATTTCAAAGTTATATTTCTAAACACTATATTAGACATATTCGAAATGATTATTGTAGTATTCACTGTCTGAGTTTAATCAGACTAAGAAAAAGAAATATTTGTCAACTACAAAACATTTGTATATTGGCTAAATTATGCTCTAACTGGTTTGTTTAGCAAAACTAAGTTATAATTTGATAAATCAAATTCATAATTTTAGTTATTTCTGAATAAATTATTGTCAACATCTAAGCTATCAGTAAGTTAATTTCCTTAATACTAAGTGAAGGCATTTAAGCTTTTCATTTGATCAGAATAATATATGAAATTTGAGCCATTAATCTATAAAATTAAATCATTTATATAAATTTTATAAAAAAAGGAAAATAATTTTACCAGTATGTTTATTCCTTAAGATTGGTAATTAAATGAGGAAAAATAGCTTTATAGATTGGACAATTAATTCTAAACTTAAAATTATGCTGAAGGGTTACTTATTTAAACAAAACAATTATTGAAATAGCTTTATTAAGGAATACCATTAACTATTGGAATGCTAATCTAGTAATTAACGATGTCTCCACTGACGAGTAATAGGGTCTAGACTGAGTATAAATCAAAATTTTTGTTTATGTTTAATTTGTATATGATTGGATAGTCTAGTGTGTAGTTAACTAAAAGATTAAATGTTTAGGTTGATATATTTTAATACACTATAGTGAAAAGAGTATTTTAAGTGATGAATACTAGCTCTGGATATGAGGGATCACTTATGTATTAATTTATTGATTAAATGAAAATTGGATCTTAAACTTGCCATTAGAAATTAAATGATTATCTGTCATAGTAAGAAATAGACCAAGGGATTTAAACTTAAATGTACTTATCAACAAAATTTACCTTTATATATTTAGCTGCATTTATGTATGGTATGTAGTTTGCCTTAGTGAAATTAATGCTGGGTGGTTATTTTGTAAATTAAAAGGAATAGATGTCTATTATCCTATCATTTTATTATGCAATAAATAAATTACTGAACTACTAATCAATAAACATCTATCTAATGATTGTTGTATTTGAATAAGTTAAATTTCTGAGCTAAAAGTTAGTAAAATTAGTAAATAAGCTCGAATAGTAATAGACTTCTATTTGTTGTCTTGCTGATGAAGCAATAAAAATCAAATTTAAATCGAGGTTACAATAAAAATAATAATAACCAGCAGATATTTATAATAGAGTAGTATAACTAATATAATTATATCTTATTAAGCTACCATCCTGAGAAATTATTATCAAGTCATTAAGAGATTATACGAAGGAATATTAGATTAGAGAAGAAGTTAGATTAATTTAGTTTACTATTATTAATTATTAACAGTCTACTTATACAATCGTTTGATTGAAAGTGTAGATAAATATCTAATTATTTTATACACCAAGTATTTGGTTTCCAAACATATTTAAAGTAGAATTTTAAGGTATCTATTCAAATTTGTCAGTATATTTTACTAATTGTTATTAATTAAGAACATAAACAAATCCATTAAAGTATTATATCTATCTATAATTTTAAAGTTAACTAATAATTTTTATTTATTAATCTTGCTAACTGTATCTTTTAACTTATTGATTGCCATCTAAAAAGTATATGTCTCCTTGACTGCTAGTGTAGTAATCAATTGACTTTACTTTGTAATTATCTTAAAATTTAAATGCACTAACAACTTATTCCTGAAGACTTCTCATGCTATTTAAAATAAAATTATTAAAACTAAGATAAATTTTAAATTTAGATGAAAATATTATATTTTTAAACAATAGAAATAAAGTTGCAAAAATTAAATGAATTGGCTAGGAATATTGCAATCAAAGTAAGCTAAATACTCAAAAAAATTAAAAAATTTAGATTCAACAGCATTTTACACCTTCCTCAATCAGTAGTGCAAAACAAAAAATAAAAAAAAACGAAACTATTTTTTAAAATGCAATCTGTAGACAAATTAAAAAAAAATAAAAACTATTTTAATTTAAGGAGGGGGAAGAATGGGAAAGAGAGAAATAAGTAAAAAAATTATTATTTTGAGCAACAATGCAAAATTAATTTCTAAAAAAAAGTTGATGTTAATCATACCATATTGATATTATAAAAATTATTTAGGTAATAGTTAGATCTATTTTGAGTTTTAAAATTAACAAAAAATAATAATAATAAAAAATTTACTTGTATGCATTACTAGCAACAACAGTCACCATATTAAATTAATTATTTATTAAGCCATAAAATAGGAATATGGATTCAAATGAAAAACCAACGTATTGTTATGTGAGATAGTTAAAGATAGCAGTCGTAAAGAAACTTAGCTTTCCTATAAAAAGTAGATAGTTAACATCATCAATTAAAACTAATCTGATTGTGCCTATATTTAAATCTTCATAGCCATTTATAGAATAAAGATACTATCCATTTATGATATTAAAAACGTCTAAGCCGTTTGAGTTATTGCTTGCATAGGAAAATAGTTAGTTAAGTTTATCAGAAACCACGTAGTTTCCACAATAGTTACCACAAAAGATACCAGATTAGTATTATTATTTGCTTCTATTTACTATTGTTAAATATGTCTAAGAAACTATAACTATCCAATTTTTTCTAGGAGTAATTGTTTATATCTGAATTGGTGAGTTTGCTACAATTTCATTTTCAAGATTAAGGGTCAAATAGTTCCTTACTTAAATTCTATTTATATTGCATAGTAAATAGAATTTATAGTAAATAGAATCTAAGTAAAATGTGATAGCATTTTAGATTAAAAATTAAGTAGTAACTTTATAGTTAATATAATTAAAACTAAATAAAGTTCCTTAAGTTGTAAGTATCATCACTTATTATCTATCCATATCTATTAGAGCAGCAGAAATGCTAACAATCGGAGTAAGTTGATTAAATTATTTTATATCTAAAAACACATTTAACTGAGTAGTAAATATATACGACCAAACAATAACTTATAAATCCTTTAAATCAGCTGAATGAGTTATTAAAACACCTCTATTCACATCTAAAAAAGCATAATCTACAGTAGCATTATGGCCATTCAAAAATTACGTTGCAACTTAATTTTTCTAATCGAATTTATATAAATTTTATGTGCTCTCTAATGAATAAGTAATCATGTTTCCATTAATATCGTCTTGTATAACTTTAACTGATGTAGTTTTAGGGTGTCCGTAAGGAAGCGTTATGCTTGTCTTATTGTACAAATCAGCAATTATTATCTAATAGAAAATATATTTATTTATATATTAATAAGTTAAATAAGCAAATAAAGAAATAAATAAATATAATATTTACTTTTGATAAAGCAAAATAGTAATTCTTTTTTAGGTATTGATTATAAATAATATTTTAAGTACTAACAGTACTTATTCCATACATTTAATTATCACATGAGTATTAAGCAATTTGAATATTTCCATTTTTAAAACCCACAAAAGCAATAGAACTATTAATTATGCTTATGCTTGATATTTCGTCTTTAAAGGAAAAAAGTGAGCATGTTCTGTAATTATTATATACCAGATTGATAATCTTTTTAATATTTAAATTAATTATTCTAAATAAATAAATAAAATAATAATAATAAATTACAAAATTTCCCATTTGAGAAAAACCAGTATTCTAAAAATATGAATAACCAATAGAAGTTGTTAAAATTTGCTGTTTGTAGATAAGTCCAAAGTTAGTCCTTGGTAGAGGAACATTATCAGGGTAATTTAATGAGTAAGAAGTACCATTTCGAAGGTACTAAATCATTAATGTAGATGAAGTTATAAAGAGGAAAGAGTCTTAACTTGGTGAATATACTTATGTGACTATCTGAGTATCATAAGATTAAATATTTGTAGAATTCAAGAGAGGGAAAGAAATAACAGTAAGATTTTAAGCATAATAATTAACTATAATTCTTTAGGTCTACTAGAAATATTCTAATTCCAAGCATTATTATTAAATTGTTACATTCTTGAAAAGAGTAAAATTTGAAAGGTATGAAGCTCTTAAAAATGATTAAGTACCATTAGATAATTATAATTGAAGAGTCTCTAGCAAGTAAAACGTGTTGTTAAATTATGCCAATTAAATTTGTGTTATATTTCCAGTAAAAACTTAATATTAGCTATTCACTATTTAAGTTTCACTTTAACTAAAATTATAAATTAATAACTCCTTGTTGTTACTCATAAATAGATATTGATTGAAAAAACCATAATTTATTATTTAGAGTTATTAACTTGGGAGTTAATATGTTTGTCTTAGAGATACTGAATATCTGCTGATATTCCAAGTTATAAATATGTTATTACTGTACAATGATAGAATAACTCCATTCATAATTACTTAGGCTTTATTTAAGGGAGTTTAACAAAAATCTTATTATTAACACCAAGGAGGTAATTAAAAATAAAGTGGTTTTTAGTTCAGCATATTATTTTGTATTATATCCCACACTGCAAAGGCACCATCCGAGCTATAAGTAATAAAAAGGTTTTAACTTTAATCGAAAACAACTCCGTTTATTTATCCATTATGTCTTTAATAAGAACCTGAGCTTTTGCTTAGTACATTTTTTTGCATGAACGTCGTCTTTGATTGTTAAATCTAAGATGAAAAAAATCTTAATTCTCTTCCAACCACTACAATAACTTAATTATTATCTATATTCGCCAGTTCAATGTCCGCAATTTAATTGCTAGAAGTAAAAGTAGATGGCAAAATGTTAAGTAATTATACATTTTAGCTTTAAACTGTTTATTATGACTGGGTTGGCTCTTATTATTGCATTATAGATATCAAGTTTAATCCGCTTGAATTCAAAATAAAAGTTTGATTTCCTAATTATTTTATTAGGAAATATTATGACTAAAAATTTGAAATAGGCAGATATTCATTAGTATTCATATTAAATTAAAATATCTTAAGTTCCGTCTAGCTAGATGAAATAAATTGAAAAATATTTTATTGTATTAAATATTGCGCTTAAATATTTTAGTCAAATAAAATGTTGAAGATAGGTTATTAATGATTAGTATTAAATGACACAATTTAAGAATCATTTCGACTAATTATAAAGCTAATCATAGCATTATCTTAATACGTCACAGCAACAAGACTAGTGTTTTGATAATCTTGATAATAAGGGAAAGTGAAAATTTTATTTATTGTGAAATTAAAATTTGAATAAATTTTATAATCCTAACTATTTGTGATGCTCCACTGTACTATTTTATTATTATCAAAACTAATTAAATAATTAGTAAGAAGCAATTTAAACCCAACAATAGGAAATGTATGCACTCTTTAGAATTTAGTAAAGAAAGTAGAGAAATAAGTAGAAGTAATTTAGTTAGGAGAAAATAATGATTAAACCCAGTTTTTATGAAAAAATACTACAAATTGGTTACTATCAATATAATTAAGGACCAACATGCTACTGTCTAGATAGAATGAATTTGCATCTACAAATTATTAGCTTGTGAAATTTAATCTAGATTTAAACACTCCATATTGCATATCCCACGCTATAATCATTTTTTTACTTACAGTAATGAGAACTTAATTGTATTATCCATCAAGCATAGTTAAAGATATAATAGAAGAATTATGTCCATCAAGTGTTCCATATGTATAGAATCCATATTGATCGTTTTTGAGTGTATATACATTTAAATAGCTTTCCGCATTAGCTCCTTAGCTTTACTTGCCACTAACAATCAATAGATTCTAGTAAACTTATGAACTTATATGAAATTAAAATCCTTTATTACCACTTTAATAAGTAAGTTGATCACATTAATTTACAGATGCACAAGCGTTAGTTTATTAATTTTCAAAAAAGCCTTAAGGACAGCTAGGTAAGCATTATTAAGAAGGCTCGAAATAGTACATTCCATTATTGCATTGTGATATGCAATTTTATGAAACAGGATCTAGAGTATAGCCTATTTAACATGAACTACAGTTCGCTAAAAAATCACAAGATATGCATTTCGGGTCGCAAATTAAGCATATTAAAAATTTAGGATAAAATCCAAGAAGTACTAATACTAATTTCAAAGTTTATTTCATCTTAAATAGAATAATCAAAATAGAGAGAGTTTTATTTTTTATTATTTTTTTTATCTATTAATTTATGATATTGATTAAAATTGTCTTTTGCTTTTATATGCTAATACTATAAAATATGTACTAAATAATTAACTAGTTAGTTAGTTATTTAAATAAATATATTAGCAATTTAGAAATCTAATAATTATACTTCATTTTTTTTATTACTCAATCAATAATTTTTCAAAAGATTTTTAAAATTCTTTTTAAGAAATTTAGAAAGGTAATTGCTATTTTATTTAAATTTGTTTAAAAAAGGTAATCTTATTGTAAATTCTTATTCTTTCATTTTATCATAAATTATCCCTTAAAATTAACCATTAATGAATGTAATAGACATGATAAAACATAATTTTCTTGAAATTAGGGAGGTGGGTTACATTTAGAATAATTATGGTAAATGTTAAGATGTTAGTTAGTTAGTTAGCAATAATATTTATTATTTAAATAAATTTAATTGTATAATTGAAAGTAAAAACATTTTTATTCCAAATTAATTTATGACATCAGTGATTTCATAATATTGAATTCATGTGATTTTAATAGATACACTAATTCAAGTGGGTTTAAATTAAAATTGAATCTGTTCTATAAAATTAGTAAATGTAACTAAGTAAGCAAAAATGTTTTATTGATTGTTTAAATATTTAATTTTTTGATATTGAATTTGATCTTATATTAATATTCTATATATACATTTAAAATGCAAAAATAGGTAAGTAACAAAGTAAATAAGTAAGTAAATCTGCTTCCTTTTGATAAAAATTATATATATATCTAAGAATATTTGTTTTGCATAATTTATTAAATAAATCTCTTCTCAATTTTTTGTATGCTAGATTTATTTGTTCCTAATTTAAAGTCTATTTATATTTTTTTTGAAAAATAATCATTATTATTCTATAATAGTGTGCTAATAAATTTATTCCAGTAAGTATAAATCAGAGTTGTATAATTTAATCAAATTTTTATTGCTTTTAATTAATTTCCTTTTTTGAAAATAAAAGTAATTCCATACTAAAAATTTACTGGTTAGAATAAAAATCCAATTTGCTTTTCAAGCAAGAATTAATTTTTTAATAAATGATAAATTTTCAAGTTATGTTTATTTATATTTAATCTTTCAATATATATGAAAGTCTCATTTTATAAGTAACAAAAAATTACTTTTAGACTGACCATCATTTTCTTTAAAAAGTAAATATAAATTGTAGATTATTTTTTATAAAGAAAGAATGATATTATTCAATAAATTAGTTTTCAAAATTTAAACATATAAATGAAGTCTTTTCGCAAATATACATACATCAAATAAAAAGTTTGTCCGTCCTATTTAATATAAAATATACTTTTTATAGCCTTTTAAGATACATTTTAAGACAAAAATTACTAAGAAACGAATTCATCTATGACAAATAAGCATTGAAAATTTATTAGTCTAAATATTATTTCAATAATTTTATTTTAAATGACCAACTATTTTTTTATTTTTAAAATTTAGTTTATAAATTCTTAAATATCTGATTATATCTTATTTTATTATCATATTTTTAATATTTATTCTTTTTATTTTTTAAAGATATTTTGTTAATAATAATAATAAATTGTTTATATTTTTGTTCCAATTTAAAAAATAAATTGATTGGTTGATTTAATTTATCAAATAATATTTATTTCCTAAAACAATTTCAATTAAATAATCTAATGAATAACAAAATATCAATTGATTGATTAACACATTAAGACATTTACAAGCATAAAATTATAGAATTGTGCATATGCTATTATAAAAATGAAATACACTTTTAAGAAAAAAATAAAATAGTTCAAAACATATTAAAAGCCAAAAAAATTCAGAAGCTATTTTAATTTTTAATAAAAATAATAGCAATGATGTTAAAAAATCAAAAAAGTAATACAACTAACTTATATTTTATATTTATTTTGTAGATTTTAAATTTAAAAATTTTAATAATTTATTTATTTTTTTCTATAGCAATTAATAAATTAGTAAAATTAATTTTAAAAATGATACGCTAATTACTTTTTAGACTACTTATAAGTCATTTAAGATAATAATTATTTTATCTAGATTTAATTGCTTGAATTTTAAATTTATTTATTTTACATCAAAATCACAAGGCAGGCAAGACTTAACTTAAATTAGAAGCTACATGTATATAGTTTTTAAAACTTAAAATAATAATTTTTCTTTTGAGGAAATGAAGAATCTATTTTATTAAAATACTCTTGAAATATTTGTTTCTATTTAAATTTTTTTAAGACTTAGTAATAGCACTATATTTAAATAAAAAACTTCATGCTTATCAACAATAAGGTAGATAGTTGATAATACAATACCATAAAACCTCCTGCTCTCGTTTTAGATAAACAAACAAACAAAAGAGAGTGAGGCTAGGGATTTTATTAAAATTATACTCACCCTTTCTGATTTTTTAGCACTAAAATATAACAAATTTTACAGTAGTTTATTAAATAAATTGTTTTTTTATTTTAAAAAATATGATTTATTTATGATGTAATAACCTTAAAAGCATTTATCATTAATATATATGTTGAAATGCACATCACGCTATTTATTTGATGAAGTATTTTTATAATTTTTGATTCAACTAATTCATATTAGATCTAATAAAAAACATGATTATTTGGAATTCTTTTACATCAAAATGTTTTGAATATTTAAAATATGCAAGACTAAATTAATATTTAATAATTTTAATCAAATAAACAAAATTTTCTCGATTTGTTCTTTTTTTAAATTTATTAACTTATAATAATGAGTTACTTGTTTGATTTAATTTATAATAGAACATTCTCTCAGCTAACAAAAAGAGAATAATATTCTGTAGAAGAATATTAAAATTTGACTAAATTACAATATTGCGTAAATGCTTAGTGATTTGAGTTATTATATTTTATAGAACATTAAAAGAAATATTTATTTATTTATTCTAAAGTAGTTTTTTCTTTTGTATGCAATATTTTGTTTAAAATTTATATTTTACATATTAATCTAATTTTAATAAATCTCGCATTTAATTTATATTTAAATATAATATTTAGATAGTATAAAGCAGTAAATAAATAAATCAACAAAATAAAAGACCAAATATAATATATTAATTATTAATTTAGTTATATATAAGTAAGCTAAAACTAAAAATTTGAATCTTTAAAGTAAAAAAAGAAAATGTGAATTATATTAGATTGACCGATCAAAAATAAAATTCTGGATAAGAAAACTTTTAATCGGTCAGTAATCTATCGACTTTTTCTTTGTATATTTCTAATCGAAATTTAAATGCAAAGTTAATGCATGCTGAGATTAAAATTTGGCTTTGAAAGTATTTAATTTTGAAAAAAGATTCAATTTATAAATCATTTAAATGCATTAACTTTTTTCTATTAATTCTAAATGAATTTAGAAAAAAAAAGGAAGGAAAAATGAGATCATTCTTGAAAAATATTTGATATTGACTTATGCATTATTAAAGTTAAATGATTTGAATCAAAAATTCTTAAATAATGATATTATAATCATGATCAATTATTTATACTGTGAGTACTTTCGTTATTAATAAATAGATTTTGTTAGAATTGATTATGACGATTGCTTATAATGCAATTTAGCAAACACTTTCATTTATTAGCAATGAATCTACTTATTATATTAAAATTCAGACAAAAGCAAAAAAATATATAGAAATTAAAGAAAATATATTCAAAATAACAAAACACAATTAAATACAAATTCATTATATTATGGTTGATACATAATATAAATGTCGCAAACACCATTCTCAGTTTAAAAATAAAATATGTCTCGACAAGGAATGCTACACAGGTAGAAAATTTGAGGTTGAGCTATGTGAAAAGTGTTGCAAGAATGGTCATTTATAGCATTAAACTGTCTCGCTAGAACTCTTTTTGGAATACTTAAAAAAGGGATTATCTGATTTGAGGTACTTTATAAAATGAATAGATTAAACTACTTCAATATATTAAAATATTATAAGAATTATATTAAAATATTTATTATTTTAATTCTTTTAGGATACAAGAATTGGAAAATGAGGAAGGATTGCCTAGAGACATTTAAGAGGTTGCAGCTTTTTTGCAGAATGAACTTGCTAATAGTAGCGTGCCTAAAAAAACAAGATAATATCTTTTTGACAGAGTAAGAGAGTTCCATAAAAAAAGACACTTAATCTTTAATAAACTCTCCAAAAAGCTTAAAATATCAAAACAAAGCTCTTAGCGTATTTTTAAGACTCGTTTGCTTTTCCATTACGCAAGAGATTTGTACTTGGGCTTGAAAAATAGCAATCAGATTTAAAATTTTTCTTATATTATTTTGCCTGTTTTCAAAAAAGAAATTTCACTGTCTTTAAATTTTACTAAGGAAAACTACTTTAATCCTTCAAGATATCAATCTTTATAATTTCCATCAGAAATAGGTTCTTCTCATTCATGTTGCATGTAAACAAATTGCGTTGTGTCTTCTTCAACTAAATTGTAGCTGCTTAGCAATAATAATTAAATGGCTATTGAGTCAGAGGGTAATCAAATAAGTAGTATGCAAAATATATAGGCAGAAGGTTAGAGGTACAAGCTTAACTTAAATCTATTTTAAGGATAGCAAACAAACAACTTTATATTTGAAGGGAAATGCTTGCAACCTTCGTATTACATGCAAAAGATGTTTCTAGTTGGAAAAGGATTTGTTGCTTACTAATGCTCACGCCATTTATATTATTATAACTTGCAAAACAATTAACTGTAGATTATACATTCCCTTCCTAAATTGCATAACATGCAAATGATGGTTGAAGAATTAAATTCTAAAGAAATGTGTATTTTTGAAGGAAATGAGCTTAGAATAGTCTGCAAGCTAACAGGAGCTACTCTTTGCTCTCAAAAAACGGAACAAGTTAATTAAATTAGAGCACTTAACTCTTCAAAGGTAGCCTATTTTAGTTAATATGTAATTCATATTTGGGATAGAGATTCCCGCAAGGTTACAAATACAATTAAATTGAATTTACTTGCAATTCAAGATATAATCGAAATAAGCAAAAACAGAGTATGTATTGGAGCAAATGATAACTTTCTATTTATCTATGATTTGGCGAAAAAGAAATTTATTAAAAAGTTAGATTTGGAACCCTATCAAAAAGATAGAAACTTAAACTGCGATAATTTGATATTTACTAAAATCAATAACAACTAAATGTTGACTAGCTTTCGTGGATCTCGATGTATTTCCTTCTGGAATTTAAATACTTACAAATGCATTCGAACCGTAATGCTTTAAAATGATTCTCTATTTTCTGTAGCCAAATTGAACTGCCATGCTTTAGCTTTAGGATGTTTAAATAAATTCCATATTTTTGACACTGTTACTGGTGAAATAGTTAGAACAATACATACTAAATAGTAAAACCAAGATGGGGATGAGCGCCCAGAATTAATAGGTTGTATTTATTCATACGATGATAAAACAATACTAACTCTTTCTTAGAATTGCATCAAAGTATTTAATTGAACTAAAAACTTATCTCAATATAAGAAAAAGTTGGCTGATTGAGAAGAAAATTTGATATTAAAATGATCTACCAATCAAGAGAAATAATATTTATTGCTTGATTGATTTTATCAATAGAGTTTAATTAATTAGACTCGAGAGGATAGATCAATAATTTTACTTATTTTACTACTACTATACTATACTATAAACTACAAAAAACTATATAATATTAAGTATTTTAGAATTATCACTCATTCATTCATTTATTATTTTTATTTATTTTATTCACTTTATTTTCTTTGTAATTTATACAAAACGTTTATCGTATTTATCCATTTTTATTCATAAATAAATAAATATCTTTGATGCTTTACCAAAAGTTTTGTTTCTCATATTTTGAAATTTGTTTATCTATTCTGGCAAATGACTAAAGCTCTTTTTTATTTTTAGTCTTATTGTGTTTTTAAATCATTCATATCCATTTAAATATTTTTCAATTATTTTTATTCATAATTTGAGTATAAAATTCTCTATCAACCATAACTAAAATAGACTTCTCACTTACATTTCTAAATTTGAGGATCTATGATATATTTTTTGATTACCTAAGGAAAAATAGTAATTAATTTACCTTAAAGTAAAGCAGTAAATTTGAATTAAAAGATAGATAAATAAATGATATACATTCATTCTATTAAAAATTAAAAATGTAAGTAAAAGTTTATAATTTTTTGAAACATTTAAAAATCTACTTAAATTAACGCTATTATTTAAGACATAAATAACTCAACTCAATAAATATTTTATTTTTTAATCTATTTGCTATCAAATTAATTTGAAAGGAATTCTATCTTCTTTGAAGTAACAAAAAATTTAACGCCTTAGGATTTCTAAATTTTACAGTTTATAATGAAATAAATAAATAGAGATTTTGGTTCGCTAATTAAATAATGAGTGGATATTTTTATCAACTAAAAAAAAAAAATATCAAAGTCGAAAGAAAAGAGAAATTAGCTAGTTTTTTTTTATCAAGATCAACATATAAATAAAGTAAATAAATAATATATAATTGTAATAAATTATCTTTTATTGAATGATGATAAATATTAATTTATTAATCTTCATTTTAAATATTCATTTTAATAATTTTTGAAAAATATCTGTGTTAAAAAATATCTATTAATAAGACTTGCAGTAAAGTAAAAAATCATGATTATAATTTATAATTATGTAAAAAAAATGTGTGAGTGGTGTTGGATTAAAATAGTCTTAAAAAATTTACTAGATCAAATAATTGATAAATAATATTGTTTACAATAAATAATATATCTATCTAAGAATATTGATTGATAAATATCCTATTTTTATTACTTTCTTAATTAGATATCATCCTCTTCTTTAAAATAATAAATGGCTTTTTTCAATTAAATTTGTTCATCAAAACATAAACAATAACTTAAATTATATTTTGTGGTTTTTAATTCATAGAGAATAATTTTTCTCAAGCAGTAAACTGCTTCTAAAAAGTAATACTGAAATAATTTAAATTAAGATTTAGTTTTTATAAAATCTTAATTTGATAAAAATAATCATGAATAAAAATAAAATATTGAAAATTGAAAAATATTTTAGCAAATATTTAACCAACTATAAAAATTTAATTTAAAATATCAAAAGTAAAAACAATAAAAAATCTTTTAATTTTGTTGTTGTGTTTACTTTAATAAGTAAGATTGAAAATTAAAATATGTTGCCTCAGATTTAATTAAAAAGTTTTTATTTGATTTTCGATTAGTAAAAAATTCTTGTTATATTTAAAAAATATATTAATAATATAAACAAAATGGGTTAAGATTAGAGTAAAAATGAAGGAAAGTAATAGAAAATAGATGAAAAGAATTAATTATAGAATGATAATTAATTAAATATATAAAAGCTAAATGACTAGCTATAACCGCCTTTTAATAGATAATAGTTAATTATTAATGCCTACAAACCTTTGTCAGATGACATTTCAAAATATTTAATTTTAGATAAAATAACCATTTACTTTAGGTCAGAATTTTTATATTATTTTAACTAGCTTATGTGAATATTTATTAACAAAAGAGAAGAGGAAGAAAATTTAAGATTAAATGCAAAAAAGTTTGGAATCATTCCAACAAGTTTGAAGACATTATTCCTTTATCTCGAGTAAATTTTTAGCTAATTAAGTTGAAGATAATGAATGATATATTGATTGATTTATTTATTCATTTACTGAAAAATTATAGAAACATAAATTAGCAAAGCCAGCAGTTTAAATACTTATGTGAGCAAATAAAATATCTTCCAAAAGGGATATAAACTATGAGATTAGATTTGAGGTTAAAATTTATAAAAATAAAATCCTACTTAATTTTATTTTATTATTTCAAGTTGTTAGTTTACAAAAGTAGAAATCAAGCTCTCTTAGAATTTGTAATAGCTTATAAAAAATCTGCCAAAAACACTTTCAAATTTATATTTGAATTTAACGTAAAATATAAATAAAATCAATTTATTATTTTTTAAACATTTCTATGAATTAAGTAAAGTTAATTGCAGCGACTAAAGTCTTTCTAAAAACTTGCTAGAATCACTACAATTTCTACCAAAAAATATAAACCTTTTATAGTTTATAGCTATGTAATAAAAAATTTTAAACCTAATTGTAAGATAAAAAAAAATAGTTTTATAAAAGAGATTGCCAGATAAATGAAGACCTATTAATGAAATTTTGTTCTAATTTGAGAGAGCATTTTGGAGAATTGTATAACTTATAGGAATTAAACTTGTTTTTTAAGTATTTTAATATTAAAAATAAATGAAATTGTTTATTCATTAACTATTTATTATTTTAATAGCAATAATACAATAAGAAAAGCTTCTAATAAATAAGTACTTGCAGAATGCTTGAAATAAATTCCTGATCAAGTTTTATCTCTTCAGCTTTAATTTTAGTATAAATTTAGTTAATCTCATAATAATCTATTTTTTAAATTATTTTTTTATTAAAAGGGTTAATGATATTTCTTTTGAAGAAGCACTTTAAATAATGGAGTCATTAAAATTTATTAATCCTAATCTCTTTCATTTTAAGTTTGAAATCTACCCATTATACAATCAAAAGTAAACTAACTTAAGAAAATATTTATTTTTTTAGATTTAATAAATAAAAGCAATTTTAAAATAGTATTTATTTATAATATAATCAAAGCTCATTTTTTTTAATTTGATGCAACAAAGTGAATTAATAAGCTGCAAATTGATACAATCAATAACTTATCAATTTTTATATACTTATTTTGATTTTTTCAAATTAAAATTTCTAAATTAAAAATCAATTAAATGAATATATCCATATAAAATGAATGAAATTCATTTAGATTTTTTATTTATTTTTAGTTAAATAGAACCTTTTGAAAACTCAATCTTATTGTTAAACCTATTAATTTTGTTATCAGATTTTAAGAATATATAAATAAATCTTTTAAACTTTTCACTTTATTTATTTATTTATTTATTTATTTTTGTTTGATTATGAATTAAATATATATATTATACATGTACTATATAAACATTTTCATCAGATTTAATATGAAAACTAATGAATTCAATTTATTTAGAAGAGAAATTGATTGAGTTTTTTCAACAAAAAAAAACTTTTTTCAGAAATTAAAATATAGTTATATAATTTTTGATGAGTTAGCTTAGTTAATTATTTCAGTTTTTATATTTAAATTAATTTAATTTTTAATACAATTTGGATCTAATAAATATTTGAAAAATGCTTATTATATATTTGAAACTATAAACTGTTAAATTAAAAACTGAAATTAATTATCTTTCTTGCTCATTCATTAATTCATATTAGAGATTAAAATTTTGTGTTCAAAATTACTATTGAAAAATAATTTTATAGTTTTTTTAATCAATTTATTTATATTTTTTTAACTTAATATAAAAGTAAAAACATTACTTAGCATCAAAAGCTTAGTTAGGAGGATTTAAATTTAAGAGAAGGAGCTATTTAATTGTTAATTAAATTTATAGAAAAATGCAATCTAAATAATCTACAAAATGGTTATTTTTAAATGTAAGTTTTTTTAATAAAAATTATTCTCATCAATCATTTCAATAAAATATTTATTTCTTTAATATGTGATAATGTATCAATTATTTATAGCTCAATTTTATAACATTTAGTAAAGTACTAAGTAAATCCTGTTTGTTGTTTTCTTTGTAAGTACTCAATCAAGTTTTATAAGCTGTTTACAATTTTATAAATAAAAAAAAGATTAATTCTTTTTAAACTTTTGAATGAATCATGCTGCCTTTAATAAAGAATAAAATTAAAATTTTTAAGCTGATGAATTAATTAATTACTCTATTTTTTAATAAAATTGACATATGTTAATTTAATATAAAATAAAATTGATACAAATACATACATACTTACTTCTTAGTTAATTATCTATAAATCATTTTTGATTTATTTAATATTATTAAAGTATATTTATATGGTTATTAAATTTATTTATTTATTTATTTATTAATAGGAGAGATATTAATATTTACTTAAATGAAGGTTCAATAGAGTGGTTTTGGTAATTATTTATAGCAAATTATTACTTAATATACTCAATTAGAAAAATTTCTTATTTATTAATTAAAAGGAAAGGACTTGGTTTAAGTTGCGATCTTTTATTTTAAAATAATCCTCACTTTTTAGATCTGTTTATTAATAGTAGATTTAGATTTTCATAGATATAAGGAGAAGTTTTATAAAATATTTAAAAAAAGAAAAAAGAAATTCTAATGCATGCTATTAGTTACAATAAAATCATTTCAGCTCCTCTTTAGAAAGCTAATCCAGGAGCTTAGATAAAGCTAAATTTTTGGGATTTATATATGTGAAATAATTAAATTATTTTCATTTTTGTTAGTTGATTTTTATACAGCTCATAGCAAACCTTTATTTATTGTATATCTGTCATATTTTTTAACAAAAATTACTTTAAAAATTTAATAAATTGTTTTCTTTTCATTAAAAAGTATTTGTTTCCATTTTTTATTTTTTGAAGTTTTCAACAATCATATATTCATTTATTTATTTTTTCATTATTTTTGTGTAATATTATTTTAAAGATAATAATCAATAAAAAGCTTGATCATGTATTGTTTTATGTTAGATACTATTATAGTTCGGCTACTACAAATAGACTCTTCGACTAACCTAAGCTGTTTAAGGTCTTACAAGTTAGCTTTACTTTTACTCAGTTAAAATTTTAGATAAATTTTAAATACGATCTTTGTAAATATTTGAAAGTATTTATCTTTTAGAGCCTGTATTGTTTTCTGAAGCTTCAGTTTCTTTTTCTTACAGTTTTTCATCATAACTGAGTTGCCTATTTGATTTTATATAGCTTTATCTCCTAGATTAGGTGGGTAATGTTTACTAATCTGCGCCGTAAGGATCATATCCAACAGTTTAATTGCTTTAATGATTCTTATTTTTTTATTACATTTCTGAGCTTATATTATTAGATTTATTATTGTTGCCTTTTTCTTTGCAGAAAAAGGTGTTCTAAGTTTACGAAAATTTAAATTGATTTTAGTCCTCTGAAAATGATCGAGCTTTTTTCACTTGATTGCAAGAAGGAGATAAAGTTAATTATTCTACATTTTGTTTGGCTTTGTTTTTTACAAGCTTTCTCTTTAAATTCTTGTTAAAAAAATTATTATTTTTAAATTCACTTTTCTTCATGTAATTTAATTCAGAATTTTGGCTTTCAACTTCTTTTGCTAACTACTTTTGTAGCTATTTTGCCATTTTTTCTTTCTGCTAATTTGACTTTTTCATGTATTGATTGAATAAAAGCAGCGAAACATCAGAAACCTTTGTCTGATGCTTTTTTTTATCCTTCCTGAAAACAGGCAAAAGATAAGGATTCGGTTCAAAAAGAATAATACCTTAGTAATTCACTCTCTTAGCAAATAATTCAGTGTAATTCAATCTCTCCATTTAGAAAGAATCTGAATAAAGTTGAGTGTTACTTTTGAGCTGATCGTAAATTTGCACCTTATTTTTAACTAAATTCTCATTTAAAGATTTGTTGCTTTATTTTTTGGATAAATTTTTTTCTACCGAAGGTTCATTAGACTTAGTTTTAAATAAAGATAATGATCCTTTTTCAAATAAAGATCTTGAATATCTCTTGCTCATTCTGCTAGACATGAGAGATCTTGCTTCAAGATCTACAGTATTTGATATTGTATAATTAGTGTTTTTATCATCATAAAAATTATAAGTCTGATTGCTGCAGTTATTAGTGCTATACGATGGCTAATAAAGAGAAGAATCATTACTTCTGATTGTTATTTGCTTCATTATTATTTCTAAGTTTCTCAGAAAGCTTGCTTGAAAAGAATAGCAAAGATTTATTAAATATACTCTAAATTTTATTCTTCTAATTTAGTATAATATTTTGAATTTAACGGAGATATTTAATGGTATTACTTGCATTTCTTTTTTCTATTATTTCGGACAAATGTTATATATACTCCTTATATCAAAAGCATTACTTGTAATTAATTATTTTTGTTTATTTGTTTGTTTGTTTCTTACTTTCATTTCTTTACATTCTACTTTCTACTCAATTTTACTAGAATAATTGAGTGGTTTCTCGATATAAAATTGCCTTCCCAAAAAGTTTACTCTCTGCAAAATCAAATTTCTTAAAATGTAAATTTTATTTTAAATTATAGTTTTTAGTTTACAAAAATCTGATTTTAAAGCAAAACTAATATTTTCATTAGTTTATTTGTTTATTTGTTTGCTTGTTTGTTTGTTTTATTTGATCTCAAAAAGAAATTTAAAAAATATAAATGGCATTAAATTTAATAAATTAAGTTTTTAAATAAATAAATACTTTTAGTAAAAAATACAAAATTGTAACTTAAAATAATTAAACAACTAAAGTTAATTGCTAATTAGAATTTAATTACTTTTGGAAAATATTTATTTGAGATTTTATAATCTGAAATATATTAAATAAAATAAGATTAGAAATTAAAAAATAATAATAAGTAAATTAAATATTGAGATTATTGATAAATTATGGATATTTTTAAATATGTTGGTTGCAGGTAGGTTATTAATGTAAAATATTATGGATATATTATAAAATATGTTAAAAGTTATATTAAAAAATTAATTATATTTATTTCTAGATTATTATTCAAACTAATCAACAAATTTTATATTTATTAATTATTAATAATTTTTTATTATTTTAGATAATTTATTTAGAATTGCTACTAAATTCAGATTTAATGTTCAGAAAAAGATTATATTGTGGTTTAAATTTAATATAAGTATTTGTTTGTTTGTTTGTTTGTCTAAATAGTAAGTAATTTATTGTTTTTGATTAAAAAAAGATATTTTTTAAATAGACAGACAGACTCTCTCTTTCAGTTTACATGAAAAATCATCAATATAATATAAAATAATTTTATCTTATTAGCAGACTATATTATAAAATTACTATTTATTTTCATTTTAAACTGTACAGTTAGTTATTTAGTTATTGAATATAGACAAAAGGATTTAAATAAAAAATTTATTTTATAAAATAAAAAGTAAGTTAGTTAGTTACTATCATATAAAGCTTAGTTTTATGGATGGATTGATATTCAAATAATGAAAAAGTAAAACCCAATCAATATCTTGTCTATTTATTTTTTTTCAAATCATTTATATATATTGCTAGGAAATTTAAATTAAGGTACAAAATGAATGTTTTTCAATTGATTTAAAAATTTAGTCTGTCTGTCTGTCTTAATAATTTTTTAACTATTGCTATTCCAGATATTCAAATACCATGAATGAGATAATAAACATTTTGATTATAGCTATAATTTTGGTTATAATTAATTAGAATATATGAAATTATGAAAATTTAATGAAATTAAAATTTAGAAGTTGCTATTTTAATAAGATAAAAATTAATCAGGTATATTTTTTTAAGTACAAATGATTACTTATAATAAATATATATATATATATATATATTTTTAATAACGTTGAATAAACCTTAGAAGCTGTCTGTCATTCAATTAAATCAGATAAACCAAATTTAAATTATAAATTAGTTAATTTTAACAACTTTTTAATTAGTTTTATTCTGATTTTATAAAATCTAGATTTTTTTATATTAAATGATATTAACTTCTAATGAATTTTTTAAGTAAAATAAATTTACTTTACTGCATGCATTACTAAATAATTAACATTAGGTAGCTTTGAAATATAATCAACTAACTTTGAATAATCAAAATTTATGAATCTGTTGATTTATTTATTTATTTATTTATTAATTTATATAAATTAGTTTTAGTTAGAGTGAAAATAATACTTTTATTTAAATCATAATAATTATAAATAATAAAAAAATTATAAATAAATTTTGAAATTAATTTTTATTTTACTACATCGATAGATTGAGGTTTATTTATTTTAGATTTTAACAATTTAGTAATGCTTCTCCTAGTGGAATTTAATCTTCTAAATGCATATACTCACCCATAATTATTAGTTATTTTTAAATTTAAATTTGATCCTAATAATTTAATTTTTAATTACCTAAAACAAAGAGATAACTTTTCTAATCTTTTGCAATTTTTCAAAGATTCGAATAAAATATTTTTTTCTTCTAAACTCATATTTTTTTTATGATCATTTTTAAATCTTTATATAAAAATTTAAATTTAAGCATTTCTTTAAAATTAACCTTTAATTTTAATTAGTTACTGAATATTTAGTTCTAAAGAAATAAGGGTATTACTATTTGGTAAAAGTATTGCTAAGCCGCATGAAGATTAATAAGAATTCTTGTTTATGCTTTATTAAAATTTTAAATTTAAAATAAGATAGATAGTTTAAAAGCTATTTTTTTCTTAATATTTATTTTATTTAATTAAAAATCTACTTTAAATTGAGCTTTAAATTTTTAAGTTGTTTTAATTGTTTTTAACAGTTAAAAAATCCTGTTTACAAAGACAAATCAAGATTTTTTATATTCTTATTTTAGGTTATTTCATTATATAATGCCAAAGCTCCTTCAGAATTGATGAAATTATACCTAGGATTTAATAAAAATTATTTATATTTTTCAAAAAAAAAAAAATAAATTTATAATCTAATGTTTTAACAAACAAACAAACAAACATATTTTTATTATCAAAATTATTATTTTTCTATTATTAAAATTAATTAAAATTTAATCAAAAATGATAATCCTAAAAAAATAATAAGTAAATAATATAAGCTACATTAAATCTATTGTAAAGCTTTCTATATTTTGACATATGCTTTGTACCATATTACATATTTTAAGGCCTCCTTCTGAATCAATTGAATTGTTTCTTAAATATAAATTATTTTTAAATATATTAACTAGCATTAAGAATAATTAAAGAAAACAATAAAAACTAACTTTATCTAATTTTACCTTAAAAAAAGCTACAGATTTGTTAGATTATCATTTTTTTGCATTTAAACATTTTATTAAATTTCCATTAACAAGTTAAACTAGCAATTACTAAATATTTTTATAAATTTTATTTTAAGATTTAAGTATAAATTGTAAAAAACTTTACTTTAGCTTTAAGATAAGAGTTTAAAGACTTTGAATGTTTAAAGTGAACATTAATAATTTAGTGAAGGTATGGCCTTCTATTCTTTTATTGCTTTATAAAAAAATATTAAACAAAAATAAAAAACTATTTACAAATAAAACATTATCATTTATTTATTTACTTTAAGTTGATTTCTAAAAATTTTAGAGACTTATAGTTTTGCAAATTTTTTCCTAATTAGACTATCTACTCTTAACTCATCTCAATTTAACTAATAAAAATAATTTCATTTATATATTTTTTAAGCAAACATTCTTAAAAAATAAATATTTAATGTAATAAAAAGTTTAAATTAAAAAAATTACTTAAGGTTAAGTGATAAATTTGATAAATATATGCATCCTTTTAATCCGTTAATCAAGTTTTCTATACCTGATGAGTCTAATAGACTAATAAAAATATTAATTATTCTTATTGATATCTAAATTTAAATAAAAAAATTGCTAATTAAATAAATGTTTACTAATCTGAAATACTCAATTTTGTAAGTTAGTTTAATTTTGCTAACAACTTTCCTAAATTTGAATTAATTTGCTTTATTTCTTCTTCGCGGCCTCTTCTTAAGATAAAAATAAAAAATATTTCTTAAAAAGCTTAAAAATATTCTATCTAAAATTTTATTTATTTTATTTTTTATTTTTTTATTAAAAAAATATTTTACTAAGAATGAATTAAATTTATTTCAATATTTTGTATCATTCTGAGTGTACTTATAGTTTATTCTGCTTTTTAATAATTTTCGAAGCTCACTTTCTGTTAAAAAGGAACTAAATAATCATCTTCATTTTCTTAATCTTTTAAATATTCTAATTTATTCAGAATATTAGTTAGATTCACTTCTTTAACTTAAATAATTTAAGCTAATATGTCTTAAACATAAATTAGTTATTAACCATTCAATAAAACCAAATAGGGAATAGCAGGTTATAGCCCCAAAGTTTAAATCAAGTTAGTTTCCTATTTATTTAATTTTCTTTTTAGGAAAATCTCAAGAATTATCAATCCTAGAGAGAATAAAGGATCCTAAATATATCAAAGAAATTAAAAATATTTTTATAATTTTAGATTAATCAACTATTTTAGAAAATCAATAAATTCTACATAATTATTTTAATTGATCTATGAATAGAAAGTATTTCCTGGCTATAACTCTTTTTTTTAAATTAAAATGAATGAATAAGTAAAAAGATTGAATAATTTAATATCTTAAATTTTTACCTATTATGAATTCATTCATTTCAGCACAGTAAATTACATTTTTTGAAGATATATTTTTGAAATAAATTCTGTGCAAGGCTAGAACATTTAAACCTCTTATTAATTGGTAAGTTAGAGTCAAAACTTACTGATAACTGAATTTAAAAGTTTAAGACATCGTTTCTAGATCACCTAAATATTAAAATAAATTAAAAAAATTTATTTAAATGAAATAAATATTGCCATCACTGCATTCGGTAACAATAGCATAAATTCCATAGCTTTAACTCTAAATAATTTCAATTACTTTTTAGATAAATCTTTCATTTTCTATTTTTTTTAATGTCTAGATAATTTTTTAAAATCCTTATAAATTTTTTTCTTCACGCTAATTATAAATTTATATCTGAACATATCTCTGATGCTTTACAGAATATGCTTATATTTTTTATTATTTATCCAAGTATCTTTCAAACTTAAATTTGTTTTGCTTTAAAAAATCTTCAATTTATTAGGATTAACTTAGATGTTGACCCATAATTTGGTCTCAGCTAATTTTTATTTTTACCTTGTTTATTTTTATATTATTTTCTTTATAGCTTTTATTTTTTTTAAAATAAATTTTTATTTAGATTTATATCTTAAGATTAATAAATAAATTAAGAAATCTAATTTTATGATATCTTATTTATTTTTTGTCATTTTTAAGTTTATATTATACCTTATTTGTCACCTTTAAGTTATTATAAAAGAATTTTGTATTTGTCAAAAGCAAAAATATTTATTTAATGCAAGTATAGAAAAATAAATATTCCTAAATTCAAAGGTTTTAATAATTAAGTTTTTGTCACCTTTAAGTTTTTATTATAGCTTATTTGTCGCCTTTAAGTTATTATAAAAGAATTTTGTTTTTGTCAAAATCAAAAATATTAATTTAATACAAGTATACAAAAATAAATATTACTAAATTCAAAGGTTTTAATAATTAAGTTAGTTTTTATCACCTTTAAGTTATTAAATATAAAAGAAATATATTTTTATAATATAAAATAAATGTCTTTTATATCCTAAATTATAAATTGAGCTTATTTCAAAAAATTTATTCAAAAGGGTATTTCAAATAAAGTTGGGATGAGAGGAAATTTATTTTTCCATTTTATTGAGTTAGAATAATACTAAAATCTAGCCATTATTTTTTTCATATCCTGTATAACTAAGTTTTACAGATTGATATTCGAAATTAAAAATTAAAATCGAATATCATGTCTATTTTTTTCAAATCACCTGGATTGCAAGGAAATTTTTTTGCTTTACAATATGAATGTTTTTGAATTGAAAGCCTAGTCTTTATTAATTTTTAACTTTATCACAGATATTGAAATATGAAGAAATGGATAACAAAATGTTATTTTAATAGTAATTATTTTTGTTGTAATTAATAAAAACAAATGAAATGATGAAAATTTATTGAAATTAATATTTAGAAGTTGTTATTTCAACTAAAATAAAAAATTAATCACTTAACTTTTCTAAGTAGAAATGATAATTTATTTTAAATATATGAATTGTTAATAAGATAATATATATCATATAAACTGTCCTTTTACATAAGCTAAACCATAATTAAAATATAACTTAGTTAATCTTAACATCTTTCTCATTATTTTTCTTCTGATATTTTAAAAACTAGATTTTTTCATATTAAATTATTTTAACTTTTAATAAATTTTTTCAGTAAAATTTACTTTTATGAATGAATTACTAAATAATTAACATGAGGTAATTTAGAAATCTAATCAACTAATTTTTAATAATTAGATTCACTTTTTCTGTTGATTTAACAAAATTATTATTAATAATAAAAAAGCCATGAATTTTGGAATTAATTTTTATATTATTACGACGAAAAGTGGAGGCTTAATTATTTCAGATTTTAGCAATTAAGTAAAGCATTCCCTAGTAGAATTTAATCGTAAAAATATTCAAACTCACTACTAATTAATTATTAATTACTTTTATATTTATCCTAATAAATTAATTTTTGCTTACTTAAAATACAGAGATAACTTTTTTAATCTTTTGCAACGTTTCAGAGATTTTAATAAAACATTTTTTTCTTCTTTTGTCATATTTTCTTTTTTATAGCCTTTAAATCTTAAAATAAAACAAAAAATTTAAATTGAAACATTTATTTAAAATTAACCTTTAATTATAATAAATAAATTACTCAATATTTAGCTCTAAAGAAATAAGGTTACGAATATTTTATTATATTATTGCCAAGCCACATGAATTTTCGTTTATACTTTATCGTTATTATTATTTAAATTTTATTTTCGGATAATTCAAAAACAATTTTTTTTCGTAATATTTATTTTTCATATCAAAAGTAATTAAAAATTTACTCTAAATTCAGCTTTAAAATTCTAAGTTGTTTTAATTTTTTTTAACAGTTAACAAATCCTGTTTATAAAGATATATCGAGATATGTTATATTCTTGTTTTAGGTTATTTCATTATATAATGCCAAAGCTCCTTCAGATTATATATAATTTTTTCTAGGATTTAATAAAAAATTATTTATATTTTCAAACAAAAAATTAATTTATAATTGAATGTTTTAACTAACATATTTATATTATCAAAATTATTTCTTTTCTATTATTAAAATTAAAATTTAATCTTAAAATGATTATCCTAAAAAATATTACTTAAAAATGAAAATAAATCAATAAATAAATAAATAAGCTAATAGCTTACTTTAAATCTAATGTAAAGAATTCTATATTTTGACATAGGCTTTGTATCACCTTACCTATTTTAACGACTCCTTCTGAATTAATTCTATTGTTTCTTAAATATAAATTATTTTTAAATATATTAACTAGCATTAAGAATAATTAGAGAAAACAATAAAAACTTTTTCTAATTTTACCTTAAAAAAAGCTACAGATTTGTTAGATTATCATTTTTTAAAATTTCAAGATTTTTTTAAATTTCCTCATATAAGCTAATTTTGCAATTTCTAAATATTTTTTTAATTTTCTTTTAAGATTTAAGTTAAATTATTAAAAATTTTACTCTAGCATTAAGATAAGAGTTTAAAGGCTTTGGATACTCAAAGTGAACATTAATAATTTAGCGAAGGAATGGCCTTCTATTTTTTTATTGCTTTATAAAAAAATATTAAACAAACATAAAAAACTATTTAGGGGGTGGGTGGGGGTCATTTTATTTAAAATTATAAAGACATTTTGTTTGAATAAATATTTCTAATTTAATTTTGAATGTAAATATTTTTATAATCCCAATAAATACCTTCCTCCATTTTATTCATTTTTTAATCTTGACCCCCAAAATATTTTCAAATTAAACATGTTCATTTATTTACCTTAAGTTGATTTTTAAAAATTTTAGAGACTTATAGCTTTGCAAATTTTTTCCTAATTAGACTATCGACTCTTAACTCATCTCAATTTAACTAATAAAAAATAACTTAAATCAATTTAATTTCATTAAAAGATTTTTTAAATATTCTTAAAAAATAAATATTAAATGTAATAAAAAATTTAAATTAAAAAAATTACTCAAGTTTAAGAGATAAATTTTATAAATAAATGCATTCTTTTAGTTCGCTAACCAAGTTTTCAATACCTGATGAGTTTAATGGACTAATATATATTTTAATTATTCTTATTTATTCATAGCTAAGCTAAATAAAATGTTTACTAATCTGTAACTCTCAATGTGGTAAGTTGATATAATTATGCTAATATCTTACCTAAATTTTAATTAAGTTGCTTTATTTCTTCTTCGCGGCCACTTTTTAAATTAAAG